GGGGGCGGGCGAGGGTGGCGAGAGGGGGTGGCCGCAGCGGGAGGAGCCCGCGCGAAGCCGGTGTCCCCAACAGGGCAGCCTAGGAGAAGCGCTGAGTCATGGCGCGTGAAGAGGAACACTGGCGAGGCCCTGGCGGCGCCACGGGCGCCAGAGGAGGGAGAGGTGGACGGGGGCGACTCGCACTCGGGCGGCCGAGGTCACTCCCCGCCACGCACCCGGCCGGGGCTCCCCGTCGTGCTACTGGTTACAGCAATTGCCATCGTCGCCTGTGTGGGACCTGTCAGGTCCTGAATGAATGATGGGCTGTCGCCAAGCGCAGAGGAAGGCCAGGTCCCCGCCCCGGTGGGCAACGTGGCCCCTGGGACCGCAGGGAGCTGGAAGGAGAGGCCCACGCTGAGTGGAAAGTTCCTAGGTCCCCGGGCGCAGAGGCCGAGGGCGGACTTCTGCGGCGCACCAAGGGGTTGTTTGCCACCCTGCCCCTCTCTCCTCGTCTGATTCTCTGCCCCTCTCTCCTCATCTGATCATCGCCTCCTCTGCCGAGATCTGGTGATCCACCATTGTTCCCGCTGGCCACTCTGGATCCTGGCCAGAGTGGGGGAGCCAACCTTGCCCCAGAAAGCACAGGCCCCAGTAGAACTGGGAGAACTGCCAAAAGGAGAGGGCGTAGGCCCAGCCATGAGTTTCTGAAGATTAGCCATCAGGGTGCAGAAACTTAAGGCACCCCCACATTTACCTTTTAGGATATAAATGTCCAACTGCTGTGGAACCACTGCTTTCTCTCCAGTTAACGCAGGGCAACTCGGGCATCTTCGAGCTCACTTTCTCCATTGCAAAACAAGGGTCAGACTATCTGATCTGCAAGTTCTGGAATGACTATTTTATTACTGATATTTTGACATGAAGGTTCAAGAACTGGAGGGCCAGTCAGTCAAACGGATTATCTGACAAAAAAAGAAATGAAACAAACAGAAAAACATTCAAGTGTTCTGTCCCCCAATTATCGTTACAGATGATTGTTTATTTCACATTTCCATATGTCAGGAAAACATTCAATCACAGTGTTTCCTAATTTCTAATGATTAGACTGGAGCAGAAAGTTTTGATAGCTTACATACAAACTATCTTTGGCCTAGTCTTTTATAGATATACATAATTTGTTCTGTTGTTTAGAGTATGCACATAAAATCAAATACCAACTCAATAGCTTCTATGTGCAAATCAATGACTGATTTCATTTTTCAAATTATGTCACATTTTCACTCTCTTTTTCTGCATTGGTCTATTAACATAAACTCACTGTCCCCTAAGTTTCCTATCTAACCTGAGTTGCTGTTGTCAGTTTGACACCAATGCTCAGTGCTCACAGCAGATGTTTATTAGTACTTATGCTAAACTATTGTTTATTGACATTGACTCGAGGTTGACTCACAGTATCCCCATGTGTGTGGAGTAGAACTGCTTCATAGGATTTGGTTCTATTTATGAACATTTTATTGTGGTTTGATTGGAAGTTTACAGAGCAACTAAGTTTCCCATTCAACAATTTATAAATTTTATTTTTGGTTTGGGACATTAGATGCAATCCTTTCAATGCCATAGCATTCTTCCTGCTTCCTGCCTGGGTTCCCCATTTCCATTCACCATCTTCCCTGTCCCTTCCCTGCTCTCTGAACTGTGTTTTGGGGCAAATGCTTCCCTTTTGGCCTCATAAGAGTTATGTGGTTGATTGCTCTGAGAAGCATGCTCTCTGGGTGTTTATATGTATATATATATTGAATATATATATATATTCAATTAGTATGCCAAGTTAGCATGCTCTCTGGGTGTGTATATATATATATATTCAATTAGTATGCCAAGTTAGTAATCGGAGAAGCTGGCTTATGTAAAGAAGACTGTGGCATCAGGACTGGAGGAAGGCTTATTAACAACCTTAGATATACAGATAATACAACCTTGTTTGCTGAAAGCGAGGGAGCCTTGAAGCACTTGCTGATGAAAATCAAAGATTGCTGGCTTCAGTATGGATTATGACTCAGTGAAAAAAGGACCAAAAATCCTTACAACGAAACCAATTGGTAACATCATGATAAATGGAGGAAAGGTTGAAGTTGTAAAAGGTTTTGTCTTGCTTGGGTCCACAGTCAATGTTTATGGAAGCAGCAGCCAAGAGATCAAAAGATGTATTGCATTAGGTAAATCTGCTGCACAAGACCTCTTTAGAGTATTGAAAAGCAAGGATGTTACCTTAAGGAGTAAGGTGGGCCTGATCCAAGCCATGGTATATACCATCAGTTCTAAAGCTGTGGGTCGCAACCCCTTTGGAGGTCAAACGACCCTTTCACAGGGGTCGCTTAAGACCATTGGAAAACACACAAATATTTCACAATATATAATTACATATTGTTTTGTGATTAATCACTATGCTTTAATTATGTTCAATTTGTAACAATGAAATAACATCCTCCATATCAGATATTTATATTATGATTCATAACAGAAGCAAAATTACAGTTATGAAGTAGCAACAGAAATAATTTTATGATTGGGGGTCACCACAACATGAGGAACTGTATTAAAGGGTTGCAGCATTAGGAAAGTTGAGAACCACAGGTATATACAATCACCTCATGTGCTTGTGAAAGTTGAACATTGAAAGACTGAAGAATTGATGCATTTGAATCGTGGCGCTGCTGAAAAACATCGGAAGAGTCATGGATTGCTAAAAGGACAAAATAATCTATCTTGGAAGAAGTAGGACTGGAGTGCTCCTTTGAGGTAAAGACGGCAAGACGTTGTCCTACATACTTTAGACATGGTATCGGGAGCAACCAGTCCCTAGAAAAGGACATCATGTTTGGTAAAGTAGAGGGGCAGCAAAGGAGAGGAAGGCCGTCAAGGAGATGGATTGATACAGTGGCTGCAACAATGGGCTCAGTTATAGAAACAATTGTGAGGATGGCACACGGCTGTGCAGTGTTCCGTTGTGTTGTGTATAGGGTCACTATGGAAAGGAGCTGACTCAATGGCACCTAACTGTGTGTGTGTGTGTGTGTGTGTTATTGTTTGGCTGAAAGATGATTTTCAAGAATGGGTTCATTATAGGTTTGAAGGGTGTCTAAGACTATAGCCTCTATCAGAACAGTAAGTCTGGTCTTCTTTATGATTTTGAACTTTTTTCTACATTTTTCTCCCCACTCTGTCCAGGACTCTCTTTTATGATCCAGACAGTACTGGTAGCTGGAAACCATCTAGTTTTTCTGGTTGCAGTTTCTTGGAGCATTATGGTTCCTTTGGACTAATCGCTTTTTTGTCTTTGACTTTCCTCACTTTTTTTTTTTTTTTTTTGCTCTAGACAGAAAGAGACTAATAGCTATATCTTTGATGGCCACTCATTAGAACCTAATCACTACTATTCACCAAACTATGATGTAGAACATTATCTTTATGGAATATGTTGTGCTCTCAATCCTAGTGAGCCAGAGCCTCAAGATGTTTACTTATGACTAAATACTTGCAAAACTTATCCCACATGTGCTCTACTCTATAAATTGGATGTGTTTGCACACATGCAAATACATATATAGAAATATCCTCGGCTGAACCTTTATATGCTTATGAGTTTACTCCCATATGCCATCTACACTGGTTCAGCTTATATATCTACCTATGTATCCACTTATAAATTGTTGTTGCTATTGCTGTTATTGCAGTATCGTATGTGTAATAGTACTTAAAGTTGTTACCTTTTATTTTGCCTACCTTCCCAGTGTCTTCCTTTGCCTTGGTCATGTTTTACTGACCTCTCCTTGTGTATTGCCTTTCTTTCACCCAAATTTAATACATGGTTGCTATCTAATTAGAGATCCCTCCTCCTTCCAATATCTCATAACCACTAAATAATGTTTCTTTCTGCACATAAACATTTTCTTGATATTTTATAGTAATATTATAAAATATTTTCATTTTTTGATGGACTTATTTCATATAGCATGATTTTCTGAGGCCCATTTATAGTGTGAGATGTTTCACAGGTTTATCATTATTCTTTAGTCATTGTATGTGTGTACTATAGTTTATTTGCTCATTCATCCATTGAGGGGCATTTATATTGTTTCTATCTTTCTTAAAATATATATATATATATTTTTTAATTTTTTAAAAATAATACTGTGATGAAGGTGGGTTTACATTTATCTTTCTATTCCTGTTGTGGCTCTTATCCCTGATAGTAAGATTGCCAGATTATCTGATATCTTTATTTCTGACTTTTGAAAGAAGCACTCTACTGTTTTCCATACTGATAGTTCCATTTTACTGTCCCGCCAGCACTGTGTGAGCGTTCCAATCTCAACACACCCTCACCAGCATTTGTTTTATTTTTTACCATTGCTATTATTTCCTGGGTGAGATGATATCTCATTGCTGTTTTGCTTTGCATGTCTCTAATGGCTAATGATAGTGTACATCTCTGCATGTATTTGCTGGTTACCTGGATATCTTCTTCGGTGAAGTTGGTCTAGTCTTTAAATTATCTACAATCAGTTGTTTTATATGTAACATTTTATTGACATTACAAAGTTCCTTAATAACATACCATGCATTCAAATGACATCTTTCATTGTGAATTCCTTCATCCATATACTTTACAAAACTTATACTTTGAGAAAATAATATATATTTTAAGACTCTCATGAATTAACCAGTATATTATAATTAGAGTGCTTTATATGAGAAAAAAAAAACAGTTTATCATACCCAGGCTGGAAAGCAAAACACAAAATGCTTAAGAAAAAAAATCTTAGTACACAGTCGGAACTTTATTATAATTCTTATTACATATACTTAGTAGATATGCCTATCTATTCCTGTTTCTGTAATATAAATGTCCTAGATAGAAAAAGATGATATAAACATAGAGAGTGGTTCCAAAAGAATGTGCGGCCGGCTTCTCTACCCCAGCATTCCACAGCTTTATAGTATCCTGTCAAAGTGGGTAAAGTTCACATCTCCTGTAAATTTAATTCTTTCATGAAGAAAACTCCAGCCATCTTGAATAATAACAAGATGAGGCCTAATAGAAGGAGCAATTTCATATATGCATGTGATTGCTTACAGCTAATTTTTCATTTTAAGAACACCAAAATTTTCCATCCTTTAAAACTTTTTCTAAGGTTCAGTTTAAGTCCCTGATTGTCACAAAGAGTTTGTACTCACTTAGTAACCTAAAGGTTGGCTGTTCTAGCTAAAAGGAAACAAG